AGCACACAAAAAACTGTACCATTTGTCTCTGAAGACTGAAACAATAGAATTTTATAGACTTTGTTTTCTTTACAAACCTTGTGCTGTACATTAATGTGACAGTTATCCTTCTAGTTTCTGCCTATCAGACTGGTATAATGAAATAAACAATGCACACCCTGTTATGTAAGTGGTCCCAATACGATGAAAAATGCTATTTTAATACTTTTCACAGAACACTTTTTCCTAAAGACAGTTCTACTATTCTATGTAAACTATTCTTATTAAGAAAATTTATTACTTGTGGCACAATATTTTATCTCGAAAAGATCAACCATTTTACGTAAATATGTATATATCGTTTGTGGGCCATTCAAGCAAATGTTTTGAATCATTAATGACTGGAATGTTTTTTTTTATAAATTTCCTATAGAGGAGTATGGACATGTTAGCAAAATCATGTATTTAGCTGCTAATGCGTGTGACAAAAAATAATTATTTTTGTTAAATTATAGAAAACGCGGCCGAACACGTTTGAGTTTTAATGGAAAATGAGATACATTTTGAAATGTCAAAACGTATTTATGACATGTCCCACAGACTTAAGATAAAACATAATAACACTGAAACAGTACTGAAAGGAAAACTTACGCACTGTAAAGTTAAACTGGAAATTAAACTCCTTAATATATAGAAAATACTAGTAATATATATAGTTACGAAGATAGTAGGAAACTATCATAATAATTATGTTGTTATTTATGATAATATGGAAAATATGAAAACTGAGCACAGAAAATAGTTTCGAACATTCGAAACTTGCCAGTTCTGATATCCAGCAGGTTATCAAAATGGGAGAGTTATCGAAATAAAGATAATTTCAGTTCGTAAGTATGTAAGATTTGTAACATTTTTCACATATTTGTAATGCAATAAACAATATTTAATTTAAATATTTGTAAGATTATTGCAGCGAATTATAACATTTTCAAAATCTCTAATAAACTACTATCTAGTTTATGGGCTATATTTTAACATTACACTTAATATTCAGTTACACTTTTTGAGGTACTATGTATGAGATCGTAATTTTTTCCAACAGCATACAGGAAGTTTTTACGCATTCGAATGCTTTTGAGGTAATTAGGCAACGCGAAATTATTGTAATTATTTCTAACAATGAAATTGTAAATATTTTGTGTAATATTAAAATGCTGGAAGGGTGTTCCTCGTTAAGCAAATTAGAAGCACCAAGAAGTCAAGTTCGGCCACATTTCTACAGATGATATAAAATTAAATATACATTTATTATTGAAATATGTGTGCCATTATTGCATGAAAACAATTATAAATAGTATGTGTGTTGAATGGTAAATTGTTTGAATGATGTTTTATAGGCAACAATTTAAGCATTACGGCGCTTGTTACCAAAATATATTAAATGGCAAGAAGAAGTAAAAAATAATATTCTAAAATTATAATGGTATCAAAAGTAACTTTAACGTAGGAGATTATTGTATTTTAGAACTATATTTTAATCCAGTTCAAAGCTAATTTTGTAAGTAGAACTTGTGCAAGGAGTAAAGCTTTATTGAAGAAATCTCTGTTTATCACAGCAACAATTGATAAACTTCACTATTGATATTTTCAAAAATACAAAAAGGAAAAAACTTCAAATAAAGAACATTCTTCAGAAAAACATTTCATGTACTACATATATGTACATACAATATATCATCGAACTGTAAAAATTATTTCTGTCCGTAAGTTTTCAGAATTTATGTCATCTGTCATAGCCTAACATTTTATATAATTTTCGTAACAATATATTTAATGCTTATTACTTAAACTAATCGGTATGACCCTCTGATGACATCAAAGTATTATTTTCGTTTTACGTAGAAAACGTTTAGTTCATGTAAGGGCTTATAACTTGAGATATTAACTTTTTTCCAAGCTGCAATGAGATGTTAGAAAACATATACATTAAATATACATTAATTTTTTTAATCCCTGATATTGCACTAATGAATCATTTTGAATCGTTTGCACATTTCCCTTAAATAAAATAATTTTGCTTATTTTTATAAAAATAATGAACAAGATAACTATATATTAGTTAAAAATTTATATTTTTAAAACTTTATTTTATAAAACAATTTAACTTAAAAAGAGAACAGTATATACTATTTTAAACTCTCCTTCAGGTTTTTGTTTACAATATATTTTTTACAGAAAAAATATTAAATTTGTTGATATCTGAGTTATTTTTTTCATGGTCTAACGTTAAGGAGGTGTGCTAATACCATATTGCTCTGGTCCTGTTGCACTCACTAATGAAAGACGGCATAAAAGAAAACTATGTCACTCAGAAATATCTTTGAGAAACACTGAATATCCAACATAATTTTTGAAGCATTTTTGTAACCATATTTACTACATATGCACTTTTTGGAAACATTGTGCTATTGATTTCAGTGTTGGGAGACTTATTTGTTATTAGATGCCTTGAGAGTGTTTGAAAATCACTTATTAAATGGATATGCATGGAGAATTTGTTTTAATGAATCATATTTTTCTCCTACCTGTAATAGTGGTTCTTAAAGTTTTACTCCATGCACCTTTTTCCCCACTGCAAGACGATCATCTTTCCCCTGTATTCCAAAACTCGAAAAAATACATATACGTTTGTTTAAATTTAGATTATTTTTAATGTGTTTTTTAAAATTAAAAAAGTACAGAAAAAGTTGATAAATACTAAAGTTTTTATATTCAGAACATAAAAAGAATACTTAACAGGCAAATAAAAGGCTGAACGCTTTTCCCCTTTAAACTAGAACCCCCCTGTTGACAGCACCTGGTCTATGAAATATTATGACGTCCCAAATAAATTTTACACGGTTTAATAACATTACATAGCTAGTTGCTATATTTTGAGATTAATGCCAAAAAGTATTTTGTGGCATCTTTAATCAAATTATTTCAAAGATAAATAAATGCATTGGTGAGCCTTTTGCTGTTTACATAATTAATATTATTTCTAAAGGTATTTTTATTCTGTATTCAAAAATGCAAATCGATTGTTACCTTGCTTGAATATTTTTAATTTATATCATGATTTTAAAGCTTTATTAAGAAATCATGAAATACGTATTTTGGAATCCAACAGATGCTTCTATTATTAATATAATAATTGGTTGAATTCGAGCAGTTCTCATTGGTTTTCTCCTTTTATTTTAGATTGTTATTATGCGAGCAAGTCTTCTTTTTTATCTATTTCTCGGTAATTAATGTTTTGCGAAAAACTGCTTCACTTACATGAATAAACAAGTGCGATATATTTACAGGAACAATATCGTATTCAAACAAAGACGGAATATTAGAAGATCTATTAAAATTGAGTAATTCTCGTATTTGGCTGTTAAACTAGGAGAATAAATTAAACTATGGGCAACTAAAAATGTTTGGTGAGACTTACGGTGAAGCTATGAGACGTTGAGAAAAATGAAAAAGTTTAATTTTATTAAGAGGAATATGTAGCTACCGTTTTCTAAATTCCGTACAGTTAAAAAGATCGCGAAAGAATACTACGTTTTGGAATAAAACATGATAACGAATTCTTGTTGAATGATACATGATGAAGAAATGGTAGGAGGATGCAAATTAACAAAGGGAAATTATCTGCTGCATTAATAAGCACAGCTAAACTGAAATTTACAACTGAAATTTAATCATGTATTACGTTTAAATTTACTGTACACTTAAAATTATTGTATTGTTTGATTACTTATAATATTTTCGTCATTAATTAGGTTTTCTATGATATAGTTTATCCTTTATAACCCATATGCTCTTCGTGGTGTTACATAATTTACTCCTCTGTGTAAGAGTATATATTTGTTATTAGAGGAGTTTCACAGTTCCAAAATTTAAGTAAATCTCAAATTTAAGTGTTAATTCTAAGATTAACACTAAGAAACTAATTAAAAGTACCCATTACATTTAGAACGTCGAATTGTCTATAAATATGTAGACTTACCTATCAGCATAATTTTGTTTTATTCAGAAAATCTTTTTAAAATTCCAAGAATGATGATGGGAAGCATAATGTCGATCTTGAGAATTTTTTTAAATCAAGTTATGCATATTTTTTTGCCCTATTCATAGAATTATGGCATTTAAAACTTCTTATTACAAACACAATATATATATATATATATATTGTGTGTAATATAGTAACTATGTACATATAAGAAAATTACGATTTAATAGATCTGGTTATTATAAAATGTATATCACGGAATACCGAACTCTAACAGCCTCACATGAGCATACATTTACCAGGAAAGCCCGAGGCAGCAAGTACTCAAAATAAAAAGTTTTATGTATCTAAATTTTTCTATTTAAATCAACAAGTTTTGTTGTTTTGTACTAGAATGTAAAATGAAATATACTAATCTACTATCATTTAAGTAAGTTTTACTGTATGTCGCAATTATAAATTATATTCTTTATGATAACTAGTTTTATTTATAGGATAATTTCATGCATAAATAAAATAAATAAATTAGAACCATAATCAAATGCCCATTACATAGTATTTGTATTAAATTCACAGATAAAATAAATTCTTTGTTGTAGTACCATTCAGATCAGATTAGAATTTTAAAAAATGTTTTGGCAGTGATGTATCTATTTGAGGTTCTTTCTATGTATTTCTTATTCAGACATATACTTTTTATTTCGAGATATGAAAACTAAAATAATGTAATTTAGACATTCAGGGTTAATATGAATGTATTTTTTAAATTTAAAACATAGAAAATAATAATTTTCCTTAAATATCAATTTATTGATTATTTTTATACTTAAATAATCTTTCCAAATATGTCTAATGTGGCAAAATACCAAAATTTAAATAAAAAATACTGGTGTTAATTTAAATACCAAAATTTAAATACATAAAACTTTGTATTTTGAGTGCTTGCTGCCTCTGGTTTTCCTGGTAAATGTATTCTCATGTTAGGTTGTTAGAGTTCCGTATTCCGTGATATGCATTTTAACCAGATCTACCAAACCGTAATTTGTAATAATTTTATATTCATTATTCAGATTAGAATAATGTTTAACAAATATTTTACAGTTCTGATGCACAATTCGTCCATGAGCATGGATACTGATACAATTATTTATAATAAACTTACCATTATAATTAACTGTTTTAGAATTCTTTGGAATTACATATATGCATATTTCTCTGACATTTTTCAAACTGCTGGATATTCATTGTTTCTCAGTATGTACAACGAATTTTGTTGAAAGTGTTGCTATATTCTAAATAAATGAGCAAATCACTTCTAGAGCTAAAGTGAGACCAGAAAAACTAAGTAGTTATATGGTTCAGTCCATAAAAATAGATCGCGAAAAAATGTGTTATGTATGACTGTGAAATACGCGAATGTGAGAAACATAAATTCTTTGCGATGAGGAAACGAAATGATCTAACACTATACATTCGTCAGTAACATGGACACACTTAAAAAAAGCGCCAACAACAAAAGTGATTTACAAATCACTATGGGTCTAAATCCCTGCAGGTGGTGAGAGAATCACATCATATAATAGTTGAACTACGTTCAAGTTCACTGGAAGAAGCTATTTACATGAACTAACACAGACGAAGTTTCCAGAAATTCACATTTTGACGCCATTTCCGACGTTCGGTTCGACGTTCTACAACAACTGTTTTCAGTCTTCGTCCATACTAAAAGGTATTTGTCCTATTTTTTGGGCTTTCTGAGGCGTAATTAACAAGGTCTGAGAAATCATTTTCAAGTAGCGTAGATTATTTTACGTATTGTATACCTGGTTTGATACTCGTATTTGACTGGAATAGTTTTGGTTGAGGTTCAGTTGCCATAAAAGCATAACAAAAGCTATTTTTTCTTTTTCTGTAATTTGATTTTGCTTAATCACTGAAAGACTGTATTTTAAAACTAACAGTTGGAAGCAATCTACAAATATTTAATCTTCTATACCTTCTAACTTTGTAAACTTCAACAGCAACAGGAGTGTCAAACGAAGAGAAGTGACTGGAAAGTGAGCGTTCTTCAGTTGACCTCTGCGTTTGAACTCGTTGACATATAGTTTCAGCTTCGTCGCCTTCTACTCTAAGAGAAGACTAGAAGTCTTCCCTTTATATACAATACAATATTCTTTTAAACTATGTTAGAGAGTTTTTTAATAATTTCTCAATAAAAATTCTCTCGGGAATTACACGTATTTATGCTTGGTATGATGAGTTCCATATGCAGAGCTCAATTTTTTATGTACAAGCGTATGAGCGTTAGTGCCGTTTTGCAACTCCAGCTGGCAGAGTTTGGTGGGAGGTAGAATAGGGATCTATGGTCAATTACAAAACTTCAAGACCTTACCCAACCATTGGCTTGTTGCCTAAAATAAAAACAAACATCTTTTAATTCTTCATAATAAAATACGTTGAGATAACAGCAATAATAAACTTATAAATATAGCTAAAAATATTTGGTACTTTTTCATTTCGCCGGCGCAAATCTCGCCAAGCAGACTTGGAGACAACACACAGTCTATTGGAGACAACACACAGTATACACATAAAAAAAAGTTAACAAATGTTAGTTCTAAGAATTTTTTATTTTGAAGGCATAAACATTTTAATATCGTTTAAAATTTTGTAAAAAGACAATAAATTTGCAAAAAGAAAATTAATTTAAGAATTTACTATGCTTTCATGGTAGCACACCCTGATTCGCCGTTTTATATCACGTGATCCCAAGTGATCTCATCTCACGTAAACTACGCTACAAAAATCGAATTCTATCAGTAATTATCTACATTAATTTCAAGTTAAGTCTTAATTTGGAATACAAGTTTAAATGCAAAAATTATTTCAATTCGTACGAATAGCTTACTCAGAAATTATGTAAAACCGCAGTGCTTTACTTCGCTAGTGCATTTTCATTAGAATTAATGAATTTTATCCTTTACTTTGCCTTTTCTGTATTTTCGCCTTCGGGTGAGCAGTGTGATTGCATCCTAATTGACTTAATTATCGCGAATGGCCTTAGGGCATAAAATTGAACTATCTTGTAAAAATTCTTTGTAACTGTATGTCAGTATTGAAAGGAACAATCAATCTGATAAGAAATGGCTGCCACTTGTTTTTGAAAATCAGGCTTAATAGGTTCGCAGAGAGAATATTCCGTTTTTTCAGCTACATTATCGCTTGCGCCGGCAAAATGGAAAAGTACCAAATAATTAAATAGCTTAAATAGATAGTTAAAAAAGTACGAGCAAATTAAGATAACATATTTTATGATATGATAAGAAATTTAACGAGCTTTCGTTTAAAGAAGCATATTCTGTTGTTGCTAAAATGTGTAGGACTTACATATTATCCCGTCGACCGTGAAAATGTTGCCAAGCAGTGCGATTTAGCGCCAGTTATGGAGTGTGACTTCACAACACTCTCATAATATTTCCGCTTTTGCTTGATGAACAATAAACGGATAAACTGTGACAATGTAACGTGAAAAATTGTGAAAAGAAAATATATTTGAAAAGAAACGTGGTTCGAGGTCTATAGAATAGCATTTGAAGCTACGTTCTGGTTAATTTACAGTTGGTCGAGAGAATTAACATTTCCTGAACAGTTGGACATGGCCGACAAAACATGAATATTAACAATTACTTGCGGGGAATTTGTATTCATAGCATTCTAAACATAACTTCCGGTAAAATTGGAGGATCTAATAAAACAGCAGAACTCGGAAAAAAAAAGAAAAAAAAAAAAAAACTCTTTAAACGAAACTTGAACACTTCTCCCTTTTCGGCTAATTTACTGATTTATTGTATGCAATGAAAGGCGCCAATTTTACGATGAATGATAAAATTACTTCTTAATTTCTTTTCATTATTAGCCCGAAGGACCGTTAGTCTAGAACGGTTATCATTCTCGAAACGGAATTTTGTGTTGGTTTGTTTTAAATGACGTATCACCTTTTTAAATTGCTGCCAAGAAATACTAATGCCCTGTACTATACTTAAAGAAATGAAATACTGAAGAATTTGCATGAATGTATGTATGTTTCTCGCATTATGAAAAAAACGATGGTACCTAGAGCCATCAAATTTTGAACAACGTAATCCTCCACCCGAACATGGGCACCTGGAGGCCCAAATTTTGAATTCCGAATTATTTGTTTTAATGTCTATTTCATATTATGTAAAACTTTAAAGAATTCTTTATTATTTCAAAGCAAGCAATGGCAACACTGTGCTGAAAAAAGTATTTTTATCTCTAGCGCGAGACTGTCTATCGAAAATTTCTAAGGATATGCTGGTTTTAAATATTTTTAGCCTAAAGGGACATTAGCCCAAATGCTCTCGAAACGTGTATGTGTGTAAATGAAAAAAAAAACTGCCCCTTTGGGTGTAATATGAAATCTAAAATCTTTCAAACTTTTTTTTTTCTTATTATCTTACTTCCTCATTTTCTAAATAATTATTATTTAAAAATTTATAAACACTTTAAATTACAATTCAGCTGTTTTGTATGCTAATTCAGCGCGGCAGAAACTTTGTTCTTCACTGAACTATTATCACATATAGAACGTTTCGTTTTTACTTTTAACTTCTTACTTTTTAACTTGGTTTGATGTTAGTTCTATTAATTATTGAAAAATTTATCCTTCATATTAAAATTTTACTTAATAATAAAATAGGTGTTTCACTTAGTTTCTTTTCATATTATAAAATCTCAATGTTTTATTTGTTAAAAATTATCGTTTGCAGAAAGTTAAACTGTAAATAATATAATTTACAGTTTAGCTTTTCTGAATGTGTACTCAACTCGGCGGAACTTTTTACAGTGATCTATAGTCACGTTTTTCTAATATACTTGATGTGAATTCTCTACTTACTGAAAAATATATATACAGTGTCTCACAAAAGTGATGGGACACTTGTGCTTTACAAAAGGAAACTGTAATAAAATTAATTAAAAAAACATGTAGAAATTTTTGTGGGTGTGTTTCATACTTAAATTTAATAACAATTATTACATAACATTTTCTCAAAATATTAAAATATTAATTTAATAAAAATACAATTGTTTAGAACGGAGCAAAAAATGGCTCACATAAGTGATGGGACACTACGTACTATGCAACAAAAATCGTCTGAAGTAAGCAATAAAAATATCTTTTGGGGTATTTATTTTTACTCAAAAGCAATTGGCAATAATTTATAAAATCGTCTGCAGTATTTCTCTCCAGTTTGTTTTGGAAGTTTTGTGTTTTTTAGCTCTGTGCAGCCATGAATGCTAAACGAAAAGAAACTTTGCCTGAAATTCGAAAATTAGTTATTAATTTGCATATTGAACGTGGAAAATCTATTAGAGAAACTGCTGAAACAGTTAATTTTAGTCATTCAACAGTTTTCAATATCATTAAACGATATAAAAAGAATCATATGATTCAGAATAAAAGAAGACCTGGCCGACCATCAAAGCTATCCAATGGAATAAAGCGAATTATCGTTCGAAATATTAAAAAAAAAATCCTAGAATTAGTGCTCCTAACGTTGCTGCTGATTTACATGAATTATATGGAGTAATTGTTAATTCTGAGACTATTAGAAGAGTAATTCGATCTACTGGATATCACGGTAGAGCAGCCAGGAAAAAATTCTTCGTAAGTGAAAAGAATAGAAAACTCAGACTGGCTTTCGCAAAATCCAACATAAAATAAGAATTCTGATTACTGGATTGAAGTTATATTTACTGATGAGAGTAAATTTAATATATTTGGTTCTGACGGTAGAATCTTGGTGTGGAGAAAAACCCAGGGAAGAATTTCGTAAACAGAACTTGGTGCCAACAGTAAAACATGGTGGAGGAGGAGTTATGGTATGGGGTTGTATGTCGTCCGTTGGAGTTGGTAATCTTGTTTTTATTGACAGTATAATGGATCAGTACAAGTATATTGACATTTTAAATCAAAATTTGAAATCTTCAGCACGAAAATTGAATCTTCATAACGATTTTAAATTCTACCAGGACAATGACCCAAGCACACTGCTTTGAACGTTAGACTCTGGCTGCTGTATAACTGTCCTGAAATAATAAAAACACCACAACAATCTCCAGACTTAAATCCCATAGAGAATATTTGGCAAGACTTGGAATCAAGAATTCGCAAATACACCATTTCTTCAAAACAACAATTAAAATCGATGCTTCAAGAAGAATGGGGTAAAATCACTCCAGAAATCACGAAAAAATTTGTCGAACCCATCCCAAGAAGATTAAATCGTGTTTTAAAAGTAAAAGGAAATACAACAAAATATTAAAACCTTTTAAAAAGTAAAATTTTTGTATAAATATTTAATGGAAAAGTAAGTGTCCATGTGGGCCATTTTTTGCTCCGTTCTAAAGAATTGTATTTTTATTAAATTAATATTTTAATATTTTGAGAAAATGTATGTTATGTAATAATTGTTACTAAATTTAAGTATGAAACACACCCACAAAAAATTTTACATGTTTTTTTAATTTATTTTATTGCAGTTTCCTTTTGTAAAGCACAAGTGTCCCATCACTTTTGTGAGACACTGTACCTCGTACCAAAATTCTTACTTGCCACATTGAAATAGGTTTATTATGGGCGCCTTAAAAATAACAAAATGGAGATAATTTGAAGTTTGGACTTTAAAATACAACATATTGGTGCAATTTCTAATGCGTATACTATATGTATGCGGAAGATACAAAACTGATAAAAAGAAGAGATGATCAAGCCCTCTAAGAAAATTAAAGAAAAGTATCCATCCTTAAACAAAGATGTATAAGCTAAGTAAGTGTTTCCTAAATCTCTTTAAAAAAACTCACGTTCTGAAAATAAAGATATTTTCATTTAACTTTTTTAAATGAGTAATTTAATGAGTAATTTTTAAACTGCTAAAAAAATCAACACATTTTAACTTTATTGTTATTGATAAATAATTTAAAATAAAATTATGCGGATTTGTTAATGAAGTCAATGCAAACGTTGTAATGTTATTTCATTTTATTTCTTATTCCAGCGATTCTCTATATGGACATATAAAATGCTAAATTTAAAAAGAACCTTAATCACTGCGTAGTTCTTTCCATGAAATATTAACCTATTTTTTGTTAAGAATTTTAGATTTATCTTAAATTCGGAAAAAATAATTTTAACGACTTGTTGCGGAGCAATTGTCAACACACACAGATTTTTTATATTTAAATATATTTTTAGAATAATTCTTAGAGTGTTGAAAAAGAATTAATTTTATCTTGTTGCCATGAAATGTTACAAAATTTATATAAATAAAAATGTATATAAATAAAAATTAATATATATCTTAATGCACGTTGTTAGACTTTGAATCGTTGAAGACTTTGAAATTGTTGATGACACTGAAGACGCTAATTTACTATGAATCGTATTTTTAATCCATCTTTCTGATTTTATATGTTTTCATTTTCAAAAGCATGTTTTCTTCATTAATGGCAACCATTCTTGTGTTTATGTTTAAGCGTTTGCTCATCAGCAATCAAGTCGTTAAAACTTGAAAAGAGGGCATTTATGCATGTGGGCTGCAAGTGGAAGCAGAAAGATCCTTACTCATTATAGTCTGTTACTTTAAAATAGGAATTTCAAGATTATTTTCTGCTACCCGATTTGACTCACAACCATGGGAACAACAGCTCCAGAAAAATAGTCGACTCGCTTCTGTTTAGCGCGTTTCGTTTCATGAAAAGCACCCGAATGAAGGTTGACGAACTAAGGTTTAAATGACGTGGGGCGAAAATAAATGCCGTGGCGTTGATGACGACAAGAGTTACGATCGCAAACTGAGAACTGGCAATGGCCTTGAAGACCTAGTTTAAAGTAACAGACCACAGTACAGTATTACCATTAACATTTTTCTCAAAGAGTCTGAAGTTTAATAAAAACTATTAATTACTTTTTTAAAATCCTCTTGAATATCAGTCGCATGGCTGAATATGCTACAGAATCTGAAGTTAATATAGTAACAATTAAACGTTTTCAAGCAAATAAAACTTCAGATAGTTTTCTAAACCTACTGATGCATAAAGTTTTGTTCTTTATCTGTTGCTTGAACGTGGCTACATATAACTTCCTTTGATACTATTATATATGAGATTAATGCATATTATTCTTATCCTTACATGGGTGCGGAGAAGTCCTGCAATGCTTGTTTGACCGTTGAGAAAACATTCCGATTTTCTTCTTCTTTAGAGTTGTCCGCACAGAGAGACTGAAGTCTGTTCAAGTACGTGTCGAAATTGTCCGGGGTAGGTTTCTCGTCTAAGTTGGGTAACCGGACGTGGTCCAGGAGGTTGATGAAATTGTTCCGAAGGGATTCGTAATACTCTGTCAGGTGGTTTGTCTTCTGAGCAGTGGAATGAGGACTCTCCTGAAATGCATAAATTTGATTATTTGATAACTCAAAACAACTTAACTATAAAATGTATATACTACTATCACATTTCTGTTTAGAACATAGTACTGAGTTTTAAAGGTCCTACATTATGGATTAGAAGCCTATGAAAGGCTGCTATTCGTGCCTACAAAATAAACTTCCTAAAATTCTAACAAATATGGTAGTTTCTTTAACATCCAAATTATTTCTAGGAATCCAAAAAATATAGAGAGAAAACAACCCAGTCCAGGATATAATGCGTTTAATTAAATAGCTTAACAAACGTTGCAAACGGTACAAATCTTTCTCATAGTTAAATTTTAATGTATTAAGTCTAAAAATATGCTATGGTAATCTTTGTACAAAAACTAATTAGAATGGTGATAAATTATTAAAGAAAACAAACTGTATGCATTTTAAGCAATTTAATGAATTAATACTGAAGTAATTATTTGTTGTTACACAGAAATATATATAATATAAAGCAAATAGAGAGATTTTACTCTACTGAGAATAAATACAATGCTTATCTTCCCAAAACCCTTTTTTCCCTTTAAGAAGAATCAAAATCTCTTGATCCTAAACTTATTTTGCCACATGTGTTGGAAATCATTAAATTTAGGTTTTTTAAAAATTTAATCCAGGGATTAATTAGTCCATTCAAACTAGTACTTGAAAGAATATGATTATTGTATTATAATTATTAGATTTTACGTCTTGAACAGAAATTTTCGGAACGTACGAGAATTAGGCATTTACAATTTTGCGGGTTTTTATGATCCATATGAGTGAAAGAATAGAGTGCTCATCGAGAATTCCACTGCATACCAGCACAATAGGAGTTTGAAATCTATTAATTAAAAATTTGCTCGTCATGTATGATCCATATATATATCATGTATTTTTATAAAGAAGTCATTATTTCTATGAATTTTGAACCATCGTTTGATTTGTTACAAATTTTGAATCGTATTTTTAATTTACCTTATGGATTTTCCCCACTTTTACCCTCTAAATTCTGAAAACTTGCCTGGTTAACATCGTATGCGATAAAAATTTACTGTTGATTTCTCATTTGATATTAATCTAATTTATGTTCAAAAATTGAATTGTTAAGAAAAAAAGAAAAGTTTACTCGGTCCGAATGTCTCTGTGGTTGCTCCATTTGGGTGATATCTGTTCGGAGCTGGTACATCTCCGATTCCACTCGGGCATTGTATTCCTGGAGTTCCATTATCTCTTCTTCCAGGGCTCGGATGTTGGAAAGATCCTCCACACCAGTTACTGGAAAGAAGAAATTACGCGATTTTAACATATTTGAAATTATTAAAAATAACGAAAGAGCACTTTCGAAAAGAAATAACGAATGTGACACATTTATGCATCATTTCATTACCATCGCAATTTAAGAAACATGATGGCTACCCCAAAATTCGCAAAATTTGTTAAAATATGTTCATTTAATTTGCATTACATCTTCATGTCCTCCTTCACCTTTTGATAAGTTTCCGTCTGCCCCAACGCCATTCCAACGACTAGAAAGCCATTACGCAATTTTCATGTATGTATATTACATATACATAAATGTAAATTATGTTACAACGTTCAGCACCGCCTGCGGTTCATTTTCAGTTGCATCTGAAGCTAAATCCTTTCGCTTAAACAACATTTTTATTTTCGAAAAGAAGATGAAGTCGAAGAGCATTAAATCTAATGATAAAGACCGCGAAACCCAAGTATCGTGTTATTGAATTCCAAAAACTACTTCAGGTTAATTTTAGGCACTTTCATGTACAACGTGGTTTAGTATTATGTTAGTGAAGAGCGACCACAGTAATCAAAATTTTAAAATGACATTCGGTCAATTTCAAAATGGTCAGACTATTGGTTGGATAAAATATGAGTATACTGTTTTCACCGAAAGCTTTTTGAATCATTCTATGACTTTCTTATTTATAAGAAAATGTTTATTCACATCCGCTGTCTTTCCTTATTATCTATTTCCATGTGAAATGCAAAACAGAATGTTAAAAAATTCACACAAGCAGAACGGTGTATATCATCGCGAATAAGAAATACATATGATTGACATTACTGCATATTTTTACAAATTTTTGGGTAGCCTACATACCCTTAATACTAAGTCATATTAAAATATTAGATTTGGTTATTCGTAAAGATAGAATTGAGAAAATATTTATTAACCCAAACAAGCGATAGCTCAGAACGGCTATTAATTTCTCTTTGGCATATTGCGTTGGTTCACTATACAATGGCGTTTCACTTTTCAAATTGTTGTCACCAAATATTAGAGCCCTGCATTATATTTAAAGAAATTAAATACTGAAGATTCTGCATGAATGCAATCATTTTTTTTCCGCATTGTGAAAAAAACAACGGTACCTAGAGACATCAAAATTTGAATAACGTAGTCCTCTACTCGAATATGGGCATCTGGAAGCCCAAATTTGGAAATTAGAATTTGTTTTATTATGTATTTCATATTTTGTAACACTTTGAGGATTTATTGATTAACAAACGCAATGATTTCAAAGCGTTCCGTTAAATTGCGTGCATCTTCCCAAGCACGGATATTTTATGCTCCAGGTTTCTTTTTCTCTTTTTTTTTTTTCTTTCTTTTTTTTTTTTTTTTTATTTTATTTATTTATTTATTTATTTTTTTTGTAATATTGTTGTTGAACTGAATTTTATGGTCTAAGTTCAAAGAATATGATATTTAAAACACAAAAAACATCAAAAATATTATATTAGCCCATTTGGGCGTAATATAAAATCTGAAAACTTTTAGATTTTATTAGTCTAAAAGGGCAATTTGTCCTGAAGGACTATTAATTTCGTTTTGGCATTTTGCGTTGAAAACTATAAAAACGGCGAATTACTTTTTAAATTGTTACCACCAAATATTATCGCCCCGTATTATATTTAAAGAAATTAAATAATGAAGAATCTACATGAATGTATGTATGTTTCTTGTATTGTGATAAAACTACGGTACCTAGAACCATCAAAATTTGAATAACGTAATCTTCTATAGAATATGGGCGTGTGGAAACCCTAATTTGAATTTTAAATTTGTTTTATTATCGGTTTCATATTTTTTAACATTTCAATGAATTTTTGATTAAAAAACTAAACGGTTTCAAAGCGAGCAATAGCAACACTGTACGAAAAAAAAAATTTTTATCTCCAGTGCGCGAGACTCTGTATCGGAAATTCTAAAGATATGCTCATTTAAAAATTATTTTGCGATATTGCTGTTGAACTGAATTTTATGGTTTGAGTACGTAAAACATATTTAATAAATAAAGGCAGCACACAAAACGTTAAAAAAAAGCCCCTTTGGACGTAATTTAAAATTTGAAAGCTTTCAAATTTTATTTTTGTATTGTTTTATATTTTTAATTTATGCTGAAAAATATTTATCTTAGAGTTTTTATTTCTAAATTGATATTAAAACTGAATGTAATTTTTTTTTTTTTTTTTTTTCTTGTGCTGAAGGATTGTCTCGCGCAACATCTAGATTATACACATTCAGTGTTAGAATTTTTGTTAATTTCACGGTATTGATAAATGTCACCCGTTTCAAAACGATGTTTATTTTATCAGATTTAGGCAATACAGAGACTATAATTGAAATCAAAATATGACAGTTCTTTATAAGGAAATTTCAAACACTGAATGAAAGGGGTGAAAACGAATGAAATCTTACTGCCGAAGATGCTTAGAAAAATTTCATTGTTTCATCCGATTTTTTACTAATTGATCACTATCCGAATAGTGATTAGTATCTAAAAATTGAGCATAACCTTACTAGTTAAGCTATGGAATGAAATGACATTCCTCTGAAATGATTAGGAGATGGGTATAAAATAGGAAAAACAATATTTCTTTGTATTTCCAGCGAACGACACCTGTTTCCTTCTAGCCTTATTCTATATTTAAAATGCATTTTAATTAAGGATGATTGAATTGTATTACTTTAAAATATGTGTTTTTTTAGATGGGAAATTATTTCCAGTTCGGGTTCTGACTTCTTGCAACAGTTTCTAAATTTTTTTTTTTTTTTTTTTTTTTTTTTAAATCTTGAAGAATCCTAATCATTCGCGGTTAAAGATTCACTTGTAAAGTTTAGTAATGTTTACTAGCTAATGGATTTGCCAACGCTGGTGAAAGCACACAGCGGGTACTGGCTCATCAAACATGAGGAACAGTACGTACCTGGCTGATGCTTGATGGGCACAGCAGGTGCGTCTTCATCAGTCGTTGCTTTAGCTTTACGAACCGCCTGGGCCGCCCTTGGGCAGCCAGAGAGGCTACGGTGAGTGAGGAATGTACCGTTTGCGTGGCCACTACCATCGCAGCCTGGTGTTGGACAGCTACAGGGATAAATACCCACCTTAAAACCATATATTTAGCACTTATTTCTAAGCAATTCAGGACAGCTAATCTAAGACAGACTTGCCACTAAAAAATAATTTTGTTTTGCGGAGCAACAAAAGCGAAATTTTGAAGATAAATGCTTAAAGCAAGCGTGGAAATGATTTTTGTCAGAGGATACATATGCCAAGTGCTTGTGTTTCGGCTGTAATGGCTCGTAACAACCGATATTTTGAATGAAAAGTTAATTGGTACATACTTTTATAAAGAGTAATATTTTGCTTTAATTACTTGATCCTATATTATTAATGAATTGTCCTGGAATGAATACTGGATGTTAAATAAATAATGTTATTTTATAAATGTTGAGGAATATTCATGTGAATAAAACTTTGCATATTAAATTCTATTTTAACGAAATAATATCCTTTATAGAATAGTTTCTGTATTGCCTAAGAGAAAGTTAAAGAAGATGTAATGACAAATTTTAACTGACAGAGAAAAATTCAAGTTAGAAAGTAAGAAATTATATTTCAGTTTTCAATTATTTGATATAATGTAGAGGAGACAAAATAGTGTCACATACAATACACAACTCACCTTTCCTGCTATTTTTACTCCGGTTTTTGTGCAGAGTAAACTAAATTGTGAATCGTATAAAATTTAACATTACTCTTTCATTTAATGAAGTTCTCTTGGTATATATAAACCGAAGTAATTTTATATATTTTTTTGCATGTCTTCTGTGTGTTCTATAATCTATAGTCTATAGTTCTATAGTCTTTGCATTAAGCAAGCTTTCTTCTTTATTCTTGTATATGTAAATATTTGTCATAAGGAACACACCATTTCTTGAATGGTAAAATTTTATTTTGAAATTTTACAGCTCTTTTTTTTACATATTATAGTACTCACGATGCCTTTAAAAACTAAGCAAAAAGGGTCTTAACTTGGCCTAAATTTTCGAATAAAACTATCTTATTTTCGAGAGAGATCAATCACATATACCTGAGGTTCAAGGGAAAAAATATAATTTTATTTTTTCATTAAGAAAAGAAACGTATATCTGATCGCCCTTAAAATCGATCTTTTGAGTTTAAACTTTACGGCAACTGATGCTTTTATGCCTTATTTGAAATTTTGCACAATTGTATTTCCCTTCCAGTTTGATTAAAATGCCTATTTATTTATTATAAATTAAAATTATATAATTCCGCTTAAAGAAGGTATTGCAAGAGATAATATATGTAGCGACTGGAAAGTTATACTTTAACTATTGCTTTAAATTCATTTAAGGAAATCTTGATAAAAATGCCCATAGAATAATAAGCAATTTTTAATTTTGATATTTTAATTTTCAGAATTTGGTATCTTTTCATATTTGAGCTATTTATCCATAAACTAGAAGTTTTTAAATTTTAATTTTATGCAAGTTTGATTTAAAAAATTTGTTTAGTATTTCGTTTGTTGAATTTCTTTGGTTTATTATCTTGACATTTAAGTGCATTATATACATTTATACATATTCCCTTTATACACATTTTAACTTGATACAGATTGACGTATTATTTGAATACACTAATTTTTTATTTATAAAAGAGTAAGCCGTTAAAGAGTTTCTTTGGAAGTGAAAAAGGATACTTCAATAATATTCTAAAATTTTAGTGTGATGTATAGACTATAAAAAGTTTTAAAATTGCTTTGTGAGTGTTTTTACATACCAAGAGTACTTCATTGATGAAAAAATTTCAATTCAGTAACTTAATTATCAAGTGTAATTAAGATGTTTTTAAGAATTTATACAATTATTTTTCAACAAGCATTGCTTTGCCAGCCATTTTGCGCTACCAACAAGCAAGCATGCGATAAGAACTAAGTAATAATAGAAATGAGCTCATGCAAATTCAGGAATGCGGGTGAAGCATGCAGATTCAATTCAAGATGCAAATGCAACTGGGAGCTACTAAGTTCAAAAATCCCTGGCGAAGCTAAACCGATGAAGGGTTAGCAGACAGTGCGGAAAAGAGAGCACCGGATCGCCTACCTCACCCCTTCTGACTTGACCGGCCGAGACTCACGAGGCATCGTCTCGTGTCGGACCTTGTTGTGGTTGGCAATAGGACACCCCGAAGCGCTGAAAACCACAGTTCAGCAAGAGTTAGTTCAACTGTTTCTGATAGGGATAACATTAAAATTATCTAGCGCTATAAAAGGAATCAAATACTATGCTAAGCAAATTTTCCTTAACACGGCATGTTTAAATTATTTCTGCAAGAGGTAAAGCGAGAGGCTGTTTACATCGGTGTCGTAGAGAAACCGGCAAATTACATATAAACAATCCGTGAGTAGGGCTATACGAACGTCAACATGACGTAGCAAGTGTAAATGAGAATTTGCGGAATTTTTTTACTAACATTCATGTGGCAGCATATGGTGACCAAATAATACGTAAGTGATAATTCATAAATATATATGTAAATAGTGCCGATAGAATTTCTGCTATTGTAACGATATAGAAATGAAACCCCCTAATCATCAAATCATTAAGTGTCATTTTTATCTAACACATAAACAATAGAACTGCTTTGGTTTTACTTGAACACTTAAAAAGTATGAATTCAACTGAAACGCAAACTGTTACTTTTAATACAGCAAATACAGAAATACGACTAGATAAAATAATGCTAGTTCTATATAAATACAAGAAATTTGTTCCTTCTAAGAATTCTGATTTATTGAATTCTGAAATAAAACTCGAGGGGGGCACAAATTTTTAGTCAACATGAAATTTCCGTTTATTAAGTTTTCTTTTCTAAGAACTATGATGGCATTGATTTCGAACTGTTGACTACGATGTGAAGTCTTTATTTGCGTAACTGAAAGACAAAAATTTAAGAAATTTCACGTAATTTTTTAATTTGTGTAGCCAATACAGCATGTACAGTAACATGCTGGATACGTCAGCCTGTTAATCATTAAATGAATTATTAAACGCATGTTAATACATCGCAATTATTGGCATATTTCATCTTCTTGCGTATTTCTTCTCTAGGAGTTTCAATATGTGACTTAAAACCATTAGTTCATAACTACATCGTACAAGGTATGTACACATAGCAAAGAACGTTATGTAAATAAATTGAATGATATTGAAAGTATCCACTGTAGCTGATTTTTACTTTCTTGTACGAAGTAATCGCGAAAAATTTCATGTATCATATTTCTACGGAAATATTCATTTCGATCGCTTCCGAATCCATTTTGACTATATTTTTGCACGTCATCTGTACACATGGACAGAATAAAGGACTCTTTTTTCCAAAAGGGATTGTAAAATGGTTTTCAAAGCGGATTGTTTCTTGAAGTCTGTATATATATAGATACATACGTAAGTATGTATCTCGCCTAACACAAAAGCGATTAGCCATAGAACGTCAAAATTTTGTACACGGCATTGCTATAACATCTAGTTGAGTACTTTAATTTTTTATTGTAATCGGCAGTACTAAAAGTACATATATAATACATTCGGGTTTTGGCAATGTCAAATTTAAAAGTTAAAAAAATTAATTTTGGCCAAATAACGAAATCTAACTTTTAATGCAGTCTCCCGGTTCCTATACTTATATTTGGAATAATTTTATACTCGTTATGAAAAGATAAAAATACAAGATGTTTGACTCCCGTACGACAAAAATTCACCGGAATATTTAATTTCAAAATTTTTTATTTTAGATGTCATTTTCAATTTGCCTTGAGGAATCGGTTAATTAAATTAGAATAATTCGAGGATATAAGTTTAACTGAAGCATAGCAAAAAATGTATATAATTTAATAGATCATACAAAGAGGTGCAATATTGGTAAATCTACTTATATTTGCTTTCCAACTTGCTAAGATCATCCTTCAACTTCTCTGTTAAAAAATCATAGCTTACTCCCATTGATTTCAAGTAACAAAATTATTAAAATCGCGAGATACACGGGTAAATACGGAATGCCGTATAATCAGTTTATGTTTGCTAACTACTAAGTCCTGTAGCTCAGAAACTACGGAATTGCGGTAAGCAGCATGCACAGCGATGATAGTTCTACCAAAAAAATACAGTCTTAATGAATTTATCACTGATCATGATAAAAAGTTGTGAGATTTCTTTATCCTATTACCTGTTTTAAACTTTCCCGCTTAAGGAATTACAAAACTTTGACCCTTGAAAATTTCTTATCAGAATAATGTTGTTTTAAAACATCTACACGCATTCCTTTAAATTTCTAACTGAAATTAACAAATAAGGAAATTCAACTAAATGATAGTTTATAGTCATTATTAAAAGGCTGATGTAATGGTATCGTACTAAAGCATCCGAAACCTGCAGTTAACTACTCTATGAAATGCTTTGTCAAATCGATTAGTTAAACCTGTTTGCAATTTCCCCACCCCTACTTTTCGCCTTCCTTGTGCGAAGTAAAAAAAGTATTGTAATCACGAAAAATTCCGGTTATCATATTTCAATGAAAATATCCATTTTGACAGCTATTGTACGCAATTTTTCGATGTTTTTGCCTGACATCTGCACGTAAGGACAGAATAAAGGACTCTTTTTACCCAAACGAATTATAAAACTGATTGAAAATGGATTCAGAAGAAATCTTTTCGTGGCGTCTGTACGTACGTAAATAATGTACGTATGTTTCTAGCATAACTCAAAAACGAGTGGCCTCAGAACGTTGAAATTTTGTATATAGGGCTCTTATAACATGCAGTTGTGCCCCTCCCTTTTTTGGTTACAATCGGCCACACGAAAATTATATATCCACTCTGTTACCGGCTCCGGGAGCTCAGTTTTTTTATTCTTATATGTTGGTAAATTGCATATTTTTTGCTTTAAAAATGATTGAATTATGTTGTTCTTATCTTCCGGTTAGGTTTTTTATGCCTTAATCTGTATGCGATACTTGTAGAATTATCAACAATTTAAAAGTTGTTTAAATGCGACTAA